AAGACAGGAGGGCCTGGCATGCTCTGGTCCTTGGGGCCGCAAAGAGTCGGATACGACTAAACAACGAAAGTCATTTCAAGCCATGGCTCCTTTCGGCCAGTCAGAAGGTGAACGCCTGTCACCTTAGAGTGGCACCCTCTCTAAGGGACTCGTTCAGGGACTCGTTCAAGCATTAGATTTTCTGACCCAGTATCCTCCCCTCTTCGCCGGCTCGTAACCGTTGCTCTTTTTTATATTTGAGAAAGTCACATAGAACATTTTTCAGAAAGTATCCGGAGGTGTGGAATACCCCTTACTGGTTGCAGTCACCTCTAGCTGTGCTGAAGAATAGTCGGATCCTAATTTGAGTGCCTTTCCACCCCCCCCCATGCCATTTGGAGATTGCATTTCTCTCAAGTTGGCTGGGGGCCCAGCCGTTGGCAGCGGGTCACAAAGAGTCGGATACGACTAAACAACGAAAGTCATTTCAAGCCATGTCTCCTTTCGGCCAGTCAGAAGGTGAATGTCTGTCAGCTTAGAGTGACACCCTTAGGTGCTCTCAGGGACTCGTTCAAGCATTATATTTTCTGACCCAGTATCCTCCCCTCTTCGCCAGCTTGTAACCGTTGCTCTTTTTTATATTTGAGAAAGTCACATAGAACATTTTTCAGAAAGTATCCGGAGGTGTGGAATACCCCTTACTGGTTGCAGTCACCTCTAGCTGTGCTGAAGAATAGTCTGATCCTAATTTGAGTGCCTTTCCACCCCCCCCCATGCCATTTGGAGATTGCATTTCTCTCAAGTTGGCTGGGGACCCAGCCGTTGGCAGCCTGGCTTGTTTATAGGGGCGTGTTCCCTGCCATTTAAGATTTCTCCTCTGTGAAAATGGCTTTTGTCTAACCTTTATTTTTTTGTAGAAGTGAACGCTGTTGAGGACAATGTGTCAGGGCTTTCTGGGAAAGAGTAGATTTTCCTAACGCTGGTTTCCGTACAGGAACTTTGCCCCTCTTGATTAGATGTTCTGGATACCACACTTTAGGAAGGATGCTGACAAACTGGAGCAGATTCAGAGGATGGCAAGAAGGATGATCAGGGGACTGGAAACCAAGCCTTGTGAGAAAAGAGTGAAGGAACAGAGAAAAGAGGACTGAGGGGAGATAGGAGACCATTCTTCAAAGACTGGAAAGGCTGTCATACTGAGGAGGGGCAGGATCTGTTCTTGATCATCCTAGAGTTCTTGATCATCCTTGAGCCCATTATTACATCCATGTAATAATGGGCTCAAGTAACAGGAAGCCAGATTTCGGCTGAATACAGTGGTGCCTTGCATAACGAGCGCACCGTTTAACAATGAATCCACATAGCGATCCGTTTTTTGGGATTGCTAATGCGATTGCATTGCGATGTTTTAAGTGCCAAAACATCGCATTGCGATGATTGGTAAGCGTTTCGCTTACCGATCTTTGCATTGCGATGTTTTTTTAAACAGCTGAAAAGACTGAAGGAACTGAGAAAAGAAGACTGAGGGGAGATAGGAGAGCATTCTTCAAAGACTTGAAAGGCTGTCATACAGAGGAGGGGCAGGATCTGTTCTTGATCATCCTAGAGTTCTTGATCATCCTTGAGCCCATTATTACATCCATGTAATAATGGGCTCAAGTAACAGGAAGCCAGATTTCGGCTGAATACAGTGGTGCCTTGCATAACGAGCGCACCGTTTAACAATGAATCCACATAGCGATCCGTTTTTTGGGATTGCTAATGCGATTGCATTGCGATGTTTTAAGTGCCAAAAAATCGCATTGCAATGATCATCAAGCATTGCGATGTTTTTTTAAACAGCTGATCAGCGGTTCCAAAATGGCCACCGGGTGCCTAAAATGGCTGCCCACAGCGTTTTCGCACCCTACCCTCGCTTACCGAGGGCGCGAAAATGGCGGCCGGAAGGGGAATCTTCGCTGAACGGTGAGTTTCCCCCCGATAGGAATCCATTAAACGGAGTTTAATGCGTTCCTATGGGGTTTTCCATTTCGTTTTATGATGTTTCCGGATAGCGGCGATTAATCCGGAACGGATTAATCTCGTTATGCAGGGCACCACTGTATCAGGAAAAACTTCTTAACTGTTAGAGCAGTACGACAATGGAACCGAGGACCTCAGGAGGTGGCGAGTGTTCCAGGAGGTGTTGAGTGTTCCAGAGACATTCAAGAGAAAATTGGACAACCCTCTGACAGATCTGCTTTGATTTGTATTCCTGCCCTGAGCAGGGGGTTGGACTCGATGGCCTTTATAGGCCCCTTCCAACTTCATTATTTTATGATGGAAAAAAATCATCGGTATTCTTCCACCGGACTCTGATCCCGTTTCCCGGTGGGTGCCAGCTCAAAACAGCGATGCAAACGTTAATAGAAGGGGGGAAAAGAACGAAGCTGGACCTTAAAACGAAATCAAAACACCGGCGAGGGCACATGCACGGTCTCTGGAGAAGTGAAACCTTTCTGTGTGCAAGCAGTACAATATTAAGTGTGGCTCAGATTGCATTGACCTGCCCCAACAACCAATTCAAAGGTGTTTCCTAGCTGGGCGGTCAGGGGCAGGAGCTGATTCGGAAGTCCCAAATCACAACTGACATGCCTCGACTCTAGCACAGAAGTTGCTTGGTAGTTGGCAGTGGCTTCTAGAAATATTTTTTCTGTCTGTTGTTCTTTATCTGCCACCCAGCCCCAGTGCGTAGCTGTAGCCACTTCGTAAATCCTGGATGCTCAGCATTTCCTTTGCCAGACAATGGTCTCATTGCTTGATCAGTAGATTTGTAGGGGTGGGGGGAGTGATGATGACGATCGTGACTTTTCTTATCGTTTTAACAT